ATTTCCAGAGCAACGGCCAAGGGGGACGCTTTCAATAACAATCAGAGGACAATCCCACAGGAGAGGAGACACACACACCTGCAGGAGGAAAAACAACACCTGTGACACACACACTGCACATATACGCTGGCCACTGCATGCGCGGTGATCTCCAAATCAGCATTAGATCAATATATTAATTTGCTTAAAAGCCACTCATCTAACACATTTACATCTTAAAGTATTGATAGAAATATAAAACATCTGTGTTTCCTTGAGTATCAATAAACCTTGTTCTTACATGTGTATGTGTGTGTGTGTGTGTGTGTGTGTGTGTATGTGTGTGTGTGCGTGCGCATATTTAAACAACTACCTTGAGATGACGTTATTGTTCATGTGTTTTCCATCATGCCTTTATATGGTCAAACAGGATATGAACCAAGAATAGAAGCTTCATTAACAGGGAACTTCAGAGTGTAACATATACACTCACCTGACACTTTATTAGGTACACCTGTCCAACTGCTGGTTAACCCAAATTTCTAATCAGCCAATCACATGGCAGCAGCTCAGTGCATTTCGGCATGTAGACATGGTCAAGCTGATCTGCTGCAGTTCAAAGCGAGCATCAGAATGGGGAAGAAAGGGGATTTAAGAGACTTCGAACGTGACATGGTTGTTGGTGTCAGACGGGCTGCTCTGAGTATTTCAGAAACTGCTGATCTACTGGGATTTTCACGCACAACCATCTCTAGGGTTTACAGAGAATGCTCCATCAGAGGGGAAATATCCAGTGAGCGGCAGTTCTGTGGGCACAAATGCCTTGTTGATGCCAGAGGTCAGAGGAGAATGGCCAGACTGGCTCCAGCTGATAGAAAGACAACAGTAACTCAAATAAGCACTCGATACAACCGAGCTCTGCAGAAGAGCATCTCTGAACACACAACACGTCCAACCTTGAGGCGGATGGGCTACAGCAGCAGTAGACCACACTGGGTGCCGCTCCTGTCAGCTAAGAACAGGAAACTGAGGCTACAATTCACACAGACTCACCAAAACTGGACAATAGAAGATTGGAGAAACATTGCTGCTCTGATGAGTCTCCATTTCTGCTGACACATTCAGATGGTCGGGTCAGAATTTGGCGTCAACAACATGAAAGCATGGATCCATCCTGCCTTGTATGCGCGGTTCAGGCTGCTGGTGGTGGTGTAATGGTGTGGGGGGGATTTTCTTGGCACACTTTGGGTCCATTAGTATCAATCAATTATGATGTCAACACCACAGCCTACCTGAGTATTGTTGCTGACCATGTCCATCCCTTTATGAGCACAGTGTCTCCATCTTCTGATGGCTACTTCCAGCAGGTTAACACTCCATGTCATAAAGCGTGAATCATCTCTGACTGGTTTCTTGAACATGACAATGAGTTCACTGAACTCAAATGGCCTCCACAGTCACCAGAGCTCAATCCAATAGAGCAGCTTTGGGATGTGGTGGAACAGGAGATTGGCATCATGGATGTGCAGCCGACAAATCTGCAGCAACTCTGTGATGCTATCATGTCAATATGAAGCAAAATCTCTTGAGGAATATTTCCAGTAGCTTGTTGAATCTCTGCCATGAAGGATTAAGGCAGTACTAAAGACAAACAGGGTACTAATAAGGTGTACATAATAAAGTGGCTAGTGTATATTTATGGTATCCACACACTGCATCATATAAAAACGAAACAACAACAATAATCTTGACAATTATAACTTTCCTTTAATTTCTAAAAGTAGTTACTGATGGAACAAACGCAGAAACAGTAGCAGGTATGAGCATTTCTACAGAGAGAGAATAAGTTGTGCAGTGAAATCAGTGTAAGCGCTGAAGGCTTTTACTGTGCGTTATTCATATGTAACATTCAGTGCAAACCCAAATCAACGAAATACTGAAGGACAGTGACAGCAAAACATATAGAAAAATATCATATCTGTCACTTTAAACATTAAACCTGGGAGTTCTTTAATGTGTAACACCGTCCAGAGCTCTGGACTAACACTGAAACAATAATAATAATGTTATTAATAATAATAGGATGAATAACTCATCACCATTAACAATAACAGGAGGCAGAAAGCAGCTCAAAAATAAATAAAATCTCTTTCATGTTCGGTGATTCTGTCTTGTTTTCACAGTACAAATAAATGTTCTTTAAATATATGTTCAGTGCAAATATGTCACTTTCTTAAATCAAGACGAGAAATAATAATAAAATGCAAAAATGTAACTTATAAAATAATATTTAATTAGCAATTATTAATTAATAAGTGAGTAATGCTTAAATATAATAGAAAAAGAACTGAATTTAAAACAAAAATCAGTGGTTAGCACTGTCGCCTCACAGCAAGAAGGTCGCTGGTTCGAGTCCTAGCTGGGCCAGCTGGCATTTCTGTGTGGAGTTTGTATGTTCTCCCTGTGTTAGCATGGGTTTCCTCTGGGTTTTCCACAGCGGAATGAACCACCAACTATTCCAGCATGTGTTTTACGCAGTGAATGTCCTTCTAGCTACAACTCCAGTACTGGAAAACACCCATACACTATCACACACTCATTCACTACGGCCAATTTAGCTTGTTCAGCTCCCCTATAGCGCATGTGTTTGGACTGTGGGGGAAACCGGAGGACCCTGAGGAAACCCACACCAACACTGGGAGAACATGCAAACTCCACACAGAAATGTCAACTGACCCAGCCGGGACTCGAACCAGCGACCTTCTTGCTGTGATGCCAAAGTGCTTATCACTGAGCTACTGTGTGTGTGTGTGTGTGTGTGTGTGTGTGTGTGCCATATAAGAAATATGTTAATCTTAAAAACAAATATCTGGCAATGGAGTCGGTGAATAGATCAAGATTTATATTTCTCATTGCAAATGTTTGTTGAAAAGTATGTTTTAAATAAAAAATAATAAATAAAGAATTTATGCACAATTATTAAAGAATAAGCAAGTTTACGCTTAAATACACAGTCAGAAAAATACACTGAATTAAAAAATAAATGAATCAATCAAAAAAAGAAAAGAAAACAAAACAAAACTAAGTGTAAATAATTTATATACACACATGCTACCAGTCAAAAGTTTGAGGTCAGTATTTTTTTTTTCATGTTTTTTTAAACAAAAATTATTCTGTGCATCACGGCGGCATTTACTAATGTAAATAAAATTGTTAAATTGTTAAATATTTATTAACATTTTAAATAACTGCTTTCTTTTTGTATGTAGTTTCAAATGAAATAATTATTCCAGTCATTATTGCTTTTATTACTATTAATAACAATAATATTAATAATAGTAATAATAAAACGATTAGTACGAATAATAATAAAAAAAATAATAATAAGAACAATTAATATTAGAGTGATTTCTGAAGGATCATGTGACTCTGAAGACTGCAGTAATGAAGCTGAAAATTCATCTTTAAATCACTGGAATAAATTATTAAAATACATTATAATCAACTTTTGACAGTTATTTTATAATGCAATAATATTTCACAATTTTAAAATTTATACTGTATTTTTGATCAAATAAATGCTGCCTTGGTGAGCAGAAGAAGCTTATTTTAAAACATTTAACAATCATACTGACCCCACACTAATATATATATATATATATATTTATATCTCGCTGATTTGCCAATGTTTAAACGTCAGCATCGATTGGTACCGAATTCCAGTATCGTGACAACTCGATATATATATATATATATATATATATATATATATAGAGAGAGAGAGAGAGAGAGAGAGAGAGAGAGAGAGAGAAAGAGAGAGAGAGAGAGAATTACCAATTATTAAAGAATAAGTCAGCTTGGGTTTAAAAAACAAACATAAGCCAATGAAGTCAGAGAAATACACTGAATTAAACAACTACGCTTTTTGTTTTTTTTCAGATTACACTGGCTGAAATTTGGTGCCAAGAAACTATTATAAATTTTTAAATAAAAGAGCATATGCTTAATAACAAATATCTTGCAATGGAGTCATAAAAATACTCCAAATGCAAAATGAACGAGAGACTTATTTTTCTCTACTGGACTGTACTGTTTGTTGAACAGTATTAGAAAATAAATTAAGAAAAAAATAGTTTTACTGTTATTCATCATATAAGAACAATTTAGTTTTAAGCTTAAAATCAAGAATCCGCAAACAGAGTCAGAAAAATATACTTAATAAATAAAAAGAAAACAGAATTTATGAAATTTAAAAGATAATACAGATTTATTTTTCTGACTCCACTGGCTCATGTATGTTTTAAGTTTAATCTAAATAACTCTTTAATATATATATATATATATATATATATATATATATATATATATATATATATATATATATATATAAAATCAAAAACAAATTGTGTTTATAGAACCATTTTAAATGAATTTAATTCTCATATAAATGCATATTAATCTATGAATGTTCATATATTTGTACTGGAAAACAAAGCAAAAAAAAAAAGCACAGAATTAATTTCATGTCTAAATGTACATATGTAAGTCGTAAACACTTTTTTGTTTCAGTTTTTTAAACAAAACTGAACCTGAAAAACAAAAATTGTAAAAATCGTACTTTTTTTTTTCTCCTTCCTTAAAATATTAATGCAAACATTTTTCAGATCATTCATAAAAAATAAAGTGCTAAATAACAGACTCGAATGATCACGGTGAACAAGCCACACAAAACCCAAGACCTGTGCTTATACAGACAAAACGCGAACACTTTCTGATTTTAATATGAGTTATGATGAATAATACTAGTCGTATGCATATAGAAGACTAGGTTAGTTAGTTGTGCTGTCTATAATGCGTTTATAAGTGTGTAAATGGGTTTCTTTTGTCCCTTTAAACTTAATTACACATTCAAGTTGTTTTGTAGTGCTTTCAGACTAAAATCCAACCAAAATGCAACTCAAAGACCCTTCAAAAATGGCAGATCTTTGGGTTTGGGGCTTCGGGTAAAGGTTATGGCTGTGCGTTGAAGCTTTAACAATCTTTTATTTAGGTTTAAATCAACCAGAACAATCACAACGTTACCGTTTATACCAGAGTTCAGCTTCCAGTAAACCACACGACGCTCTGAAATGCAGAGTTCATGCACAAACATCATATTCTCCTCCTCCTGTTTGTTTTGGTTTGAGTGCATGAAGTTTCCCGCCAGATGTGAGTGACATCACTTCCCCTGTTAAACCACTTTGCCGTTCTCTTTTGCCTAGGGAAAAAAAGAGAAACATACAGAGTTGAACAGTAAGACATTTTAGCAGAAAGACATTTCAACACATTTCTAAACATAATAGTTTTAATAACTCATCTCTAATAACTGATTTATTTTCTCTTTGCCATGATGACAGTAAATAATATTAGACTAGATATTCTAAAAGACACTTCTTAAAGTGACATTTAAAGGCTAAACTAGGTTAATTAAGTTTACTAGGCGGGTTAGAGTAATTAGGCAAGTTATTGTAAAACAATGGTTTATTTTTTGTCCCAAAAATGGGTTTTAAAAAATTAATAATTGCTTTCATTTTAGCCGTAATAAAACAAACAAGACTTTCTCCAGAAGAAAAAATATTATCAGACATACTGTGAAAATTTCCTTGCTCTGTTAAACATCATTTTGGTAATATTTAAAAGAGAAAAAAAAATCAAAAGGGGGCTAATAATTCTGACTTCAACTGTATATATATCTGCAGCGCCATCACCCAGCAATAATAATAATAATAATAACAATTCCTTACATTTATATAGCGCTTTTCTGGGCACTCAAAGCGCTTTACACATAGGGGGGAATCTCCTCATCCACCAGCAGTGTGCAGCATCCACCTGGATGACGCCATTTTGCGCCAGACCGCACACCACACACCAGCTGATTGGTGGAGAGGAGACAGAGTGATGAAGCCAATTGGGATATGGGGATGGTTAGGAGGCCATGATGGACAGAGGCCAGTGGACAGATTTTGGCCAGAATGCCGGGGTTAAACCCCTACTCTTTTTCGAAGGACATCCTGGGATTTTTAACGACCACAGAGAGTCGGGACCTCGCTTTAACGTCTCATCCGATAATATCACTGTCTGAAAGCAGGATAGCAGAGAAGGTAATAAAGTCCTTCAAACAGCAACAATCCCTCGCTGAATATTTCCAGCAAACATACCCAACTGGTTCCGAGAGACACATGAAAATAACAAAGGCAGTGCGGGTGTTTTTTGATAAAGATTTGCAGTCGTTTTAGTGAATGGAGATGTGGGCTTTTGTCATCTTATAAAAGCACTCGATCCACGTTAACTTACAGACTACAGTCTCACACTTTCAGCACCGAGATAATTAAGATAGTTTATTTATGTTTACTGAAGTACAAATATATTTATTTGAAATGGTCAATTTATCTTTATTAACTTCACATGTGTGTTTATTTTCAAAGTGTAGAAATGTTTGTGTTCCCCAGTTCAAAGAGCTTAGAATGACCAAGAGGCGACACTCAATAGAACGTTCCACTGCAACAGCAGTGCCCAGCAACAGCAACAGCGATCGGCCGTCCACTGGATCTCATTCAATGACTGTAAAAAATATGGACGACGCGACAGCCCCTTTTCCCATTGAACGCCTTGAGGGCAAAACGCCTGCTTGACGGGCACAAACTGTCGCAAAAGACTGCTGAAATTGGAGCCTTGACATGCGCAGAAGGACTGTCTGATGGAGCCAGAGGAGGAGCCGCGAAAATGAGTCGAGCTTCCAACCAAACGCTTTATGTAAAATCAACCACGCCCCCCAACTTCTCAGCATGCGTTTGCTGTCATATCAACACAAATGGATGTAATAACGTTAACAAATATGAGGGTTTTATATATTCAATCGCGCCAGCTCCGGGCCGCAGCGCACATATCCTACTCGCGGCGTCGCGGGCTGATTCCGGCTCGTATGCGGCAGCGCCGGCTCGCTCGGCCGCCGCATCTGGCTCGATTGACTCGGGCTGGAATCAAGCAGTGAGTCCAGGCATCCGGAGTAGGTCCAGCAGAGGTAGTCAGTCTGAGCTCTGAGGGGTAAGTCTCCGGCAGGCGAGAATCTAGCTGGAACTGGCTTGAGTGTATTTTGCTATCTGGGTGGCTAGGCGTGTATCAGCAAACTAATAACGCCCGAAAAAAGCCCTGACCTTAGCGAATAAACAGTGTTCCACCAGGATCATGTATGTCAGAAACTGTAGTTTACTGCTGAACTCATTTTGTCATGGTAAAATAACACAGAAATCGAATAATAACACTTCTGTCTCCTGCCGAAGCTCAGACGCACTGCTTTGAGAAACTGTCAATCACAGCTGTCAATCATGATGACACGCCCAGCATTAAATTACTGCTAAAAACAAACTGTTTACAGAAATGAAGATCTGCACCTATTTCAGCACAATAACCAGTGCCTTAATCGACCAGAACCATCTTTCGGGACATTTTATTGCAAGTGTAATACATTTTTTTATTTGGGCTCAAGTCTCCTTCATTAACACGGAGGAGGCGGGCTTTATGACTTGTACTGCAGCCAGCCCCCAGGGGGCGATCTAACGGCCGAGACCTTCACTCAAACGCTGGCTTGCGGCACACTTGATCTCATTACTGTCTCGATGGCAAGCACCTGCTTTGTTTTTTATTTATTTATTTATTTAAAAAGCGCATTAAAGCTGAGATACAACCTGAAAAACGACAATACAACACATATTATCACAATCATCAGCACTTTAAATAGTTTATTTTACAGACTTATAATATGCTGTTGTTCTACTGGAGTTTTTAATCCAAAATGGCCGCCGCACCCTCTAGTGGCTGTTTCTCAAATTACACTAGTGTCGCCTCTTGGTCATTCTAAGCTCTTTGCCCGGTTTGTACATGGGCTACCAGCAGCTGTGAGATTTCAGTGTTTTATTATTTTTTTTATACAATAAGAACTAGTGTACTTTTCTTGGCTTAAAAGTAAAATAAAGAAGTATTACAATAAATCGTTTACTTTTTTCTCCTTAACCTCCTACTAATCCTATTGCCTAAGCATAGAATACCAAAAGGAAAACACGTTAAGCCATCAGAACCAAACTAAGCCGAAAACCATGTTAAAAAACTGAGGTGTGTATAGAACTGTAGGCTAACTGTAGTGTAGCATCCCTAATATATTTATGTATATTTTTAAAACAGTTCTGTCTGGTTCTCGAATCTGATTGGCTGATAGCCGTGATATATTTAAGTAATTTCAGCACCCGTACAGCCTCTTTACCCTATGTGTATTACTCCGCCCACATACAGCCAGCAAAAAGCAGAGACAGTACAGATCTACAGTTTAAAAGATGCACGCTCAACTGTTTAACTGTCAGCGTATGATTTGAATCCGGAAGAAAGTAGTTCCTCATGCAAAAGGGTTTTTGAGACTCTCCATGTTTGATTTTGTTTTTATATACACAATTATGCCGTCAAACTGTTGTATAAACGCAATATCACACTCGTAGCAGTGCAATATGGCTGTTTTTCGGCACTGGTGGGGGCACACAACGCACGTCTCCTACCAGTGCCGATATACAGCCATATCGCACTCCTACTCGTGTGATATTGCTCATATATATATAATTGTTGCATGTATATGTACATAATGTACATATACAATGTCGCGATTATTCATTTAACCATACTAAATATAAATATCTGAATATATATAAAGATAAACTATAATATATATGTGCTAGTTTTGTAGTTTTTATTAAAAGTTTGAACCATTTTTTTATTCTTTAAATTTTAGAGTTAGTTTAAATGAAGTTTTAGTTATTTGTATTTAAATTAATGATATAATTTGACTGCAGTGAAAAGTAAAATATATTGTTCATCAATTTAGTCTTGTGCATTTGTTTTGGCCAGGCAGTAGAATTTATTTATATAAAAGAAAGTAGAAACAAAATAGTTGATTAATAAAGTTTAGAGATCCGTTCAAACTTTTCTGAAGTTAATATTTTACAAAATAATCATTTGTTTTTGAAATCATGCATGTATATTTATATCTATCAGCTAATATGTTGTCAATCTGCCTCCAAACAGCCCAAAATTTAATGTCTGTGCATCTCTAATTCCTTCCCATACAGCACAGCTCTAGTTCAGTTAATGAGCTGTAATGGAGCGTCGAGCTGCTTTTAACACTGTAAAACTCTTCATTTCCTGGGCTGAATCTGTGGCCTGGTTACGGATATAGTGCTGCTTTCTAGGGTATTTGTGCAGCACTCGAGCTGATAATGGAGTTTCAGTGGGACTCTTCAGATCTGCAAGTGAAATGAGGTTTTAGTGCAGGAGCTCACCATCTGAACACTGCTGCACTTCGGCTGAACATCACTGCGCTCCAGAGTCAGCACACACACATCAGAGTCCAGCAGCTCTTCTGAAACACACACACACACACACACACACACATATATATATATACAAACATACATACATTCAAGCATGCAAACACAGACATACACACAAGCACACAAACGAATATGTGCGCACGCACACACACACACACACACACACACACACACACACACACACACACACACACACACACACACACACACACACACACACACACACACATTAAAAATTAGTAAATATTTTCCAATACAAACACTTCTAAAATAAGTTTATTTTGATTTTTTAAAATAACAATATATATTAAAATCATAATTATTTGATTTGGCCATGTTGATGTATAATGCAGTATATAATATACTATAATATAATAACTATTATTAATACAATACTGCTAATAGTATTAAAATTCATTCATTTGTTTTCATTGTTTCATATATAAATCACAAATACAAAAAACTTTCATGATGCATTGCAAATGACACAAAATTAAAGAGTTGTTGATCCATCCATCCACATGACCATAATCATCATACAGCTTTTTTTCCGTTAAGACATCAGGACATGATCAGTTCTAGTATTGTAATACAGTTCTAGTGTTTCTACTTAAAGTTTCATTTTATTTTTTTATTCCAAATTAATCAAATAATAATATAAATGAAAGAAATTGTATTATTTGCTATGGCCATACCAAATTTTAAGTAAGTGGGCGGAGCAAAGTTTTTTTTTTTTTAAGTTGCTGCGACTGATTAGTGGACTAAATTCCACAGCATCATGGGTAATGTAGTTTTTTTCCCACTTACCATTTCCACTAGCAGAGTAGCTCTTGGTCTGTTCTTTCTTTCTCTTTTTCATTCTTTCTTTCTTTCATCCATCCATCTATCTATCTATATCCATCCATCCATCTATCTATATCCATCCCTCCATCCATCCATCCATCCATCCATCATCTATCTATCTATCTATCCATCCATCCATCCATCCATCCATCCATCCATCCATCCATCCATCCATCCATCCATCCATCCATCCATCCATCCATCCATCCATCCATCTATCTATCCTTCTATCCATCCATCCATCCATCCATCCATCCATCCATCTATCTATCTATCTATCTATCCATCCATCCATCCATCCATCCATCCATTTATCTATCTATATCCATCTATCTATCCATCCATCTATCTATCGATCCATCCATCCATCCATCCATCCATCCATCCATCCATCCATCCATCCATCCATCCATCCATCCATCCATCCATCCATCCATCCATCTGTCTGTCTGTTCGTCTTTATATCTATTCATCCATCCATCCATCCATCTATAAATATGAACAAAATCATTATACAGCAATTTTAAATGAAGACATCAGGGCATCATTAGTAAATACCAGTATTGTAACCTGTAGTTTTACAGTTTATTTTTGTTTATTCTTCTTTTTTTTTCAAAATAATAATATAAATGAAACAATATTAATTATTTGCTACAGCCACATTGACATAAAGCAAATTTCAAGTGAGTGGGTGGTTGCTGCAACTCTTCAATTAGTGGACTATTTTGCACAGCATCATGGGTAATGTAGTTTTTCCCACATACCGTTTCCTCTAGCAGTGCAGCTCTTGCTGTGTTCAGCGGGTTGTTTTTCATCTGCTTCGGCTGATATATCTCCAGCTTCAGGACACGATGTTTTCCTTTCTTCAGTAAGTGCATCTGACTCGGTGTGATTTTCACTGCTGTTTTGTGTCGATGTTTGTCTGTTTTCCTCCACAAAACCATTTGTGTTTGTCTGCAGCTCCTTCTTCTCATGGTCTTCAGAAAAGCGTACCTTTTTCTCCACGTTTTTCAGAGAGACGAGCTCTGGATGAGGCGTTTCTGCTGAAGCACTGGTGTTTTGTGTGTGCTCTGTGCTTCTGAGTGACTCTTGAGACGAACACGGCCTTATGTTTTCAGTGTCCGTCTCTGGATTGATCTTTTCAGGAGCGCAAAGAGCGTCAAGCTCCTCTAAAAACTCCTGCAAGCTGCCTTCTGGATAAACCTGACACAAATTCACAACAATGCACAATATACAGAGTGGGCCATTTATATGGATACACCTGAATACAATGGGAATGGTTGGTGATATTAACATCCTGTTGTCCTTTTCAGGATGGGTGGTGACCATGGTTGCCATTTTGAAGTCAACCATCTTGGATTCAACTTTTTTTAATAGGAAGAGGGTCATGTGACCACAGGAGAAATGCCAGCATAGGCTTCCAGTATCCATAGTTTCAGGTGCTGCACATTTTGTGTCTTCACACCATAGACAACTGCCTTCAGATGACCCCAAAGATAAAAGTCTAAAAGGGGCAGATCGGGAGACCCTGGGGGCCATTCAACTAGCCCACGACGACCAATCCACTTTTCAGGAAACTGTTCATCTAGGAATGCTCGGACCTGACATCCATAATGTGGTGGTTCTTGCCGGGAACATGCCAGCTTCAGTGCATAAAGAGGGAAACACATCATCATGTAGCAGTTTCAAATATCCAGTGGCCTTAAGATTTCCATTGATGAAGAATGGCCACACTATCTTTGCTGTCTATGGTGTGAAGATACGTAGAAACTATGAATACTGGAAGCCTGTGCTGGCATTTCTCCTGCGGTGTTGCTATCAGTGTGTGAAGAGTGGGAGAAGAGGGTTGCATTGACAATCCAACACAATGGGCCGCACATTGAACAGATTTTTTAAGTGGTCAGAAACTTGTAAATACTTATGAAAGAATAAAGTTACGTTAAAACCAAGCACACCATTGTTTTTCTTGTGAAATTCCCAATAAGTTTGATGTGTCACATGACCCTCTTCCTATTGAAAAATCAAAAGTTGGATCCAAGATGGCCGACTTCAAAATGGCCACCATGGTCACCACCCATCTTGAAAAGTTTGCCCCCTTACATTTACTAATGTGCCACAAACAGGACGTTAATATCACCAACCATTCCCATTTTATTAAGGTGTATGCATATAAATGACCCACCCTGTAGTCTATTAGAAAAATTTACATCATCAATAAAAATTAATCAATTAATAAACAAAAAATAAAAACTTAAATTACAAATTAATTCGGATTTTTCGTTTCTGAAATTATTTTGATAAAAATTAAGCATTTTCATTCCAAATTGTAAATTAATATAAAAATATTTCATACACACACACACACACACCTATAAATATAAATTAAATTTTAACCAAGGTAATTTCATGCAAAACATTTAGTAAAATTTTTGAGGGAATTTTATTAAAACGTTCAGATATTACTACAAAAATTTAGATAAAAAAAAAACATTTAAAAAAATGTAAAGCCTATATTTAGAAATTTTTGTTTCTGAATAAAAATAAAATCATTTTAATCCCATATTTTAATTACTATAGTAGTAACAACAACAATACTATCATAAAATAAAATAAAAAAAATCACCTGCAAATGTTCTTCCTGCTCTTTAGCATCCCACCTGAGGACAAAAAAACATTAATTGCTTGAGTTTTTGGATTAATATCCATCATAAATGAGTGCGTGAATGTATAACACCAAGTAATGGATCTGAAGTGATTTTAGTGAGATTTCAACCCTTGTGTGTGCTGTTGGGTCATTTTCATCCACTCTAGGCTGACTTTGAGTCTTAATTTGGCCACAACGTTCTCTGTATTTCAGGACTTTTGCTAATAAATCTTATTTTGACACATATTTTGTGAAAATGCGTTGAAAATGTTCAAAAACTCAACAATACACTATGGGCAGGTTGACTCCCCTTTGGTTATGTTAATGGCTGTTTCTACCCCATTGAATTCTATTATAATCGCATTCATTTATTGCACAGCCATGACCACATATAGTCATGCATTCTTGATTGCTACCTGTTGGAAAAAGGTAGAGGTAAAGGGAAGAGGTACAGTTTGTCATTTATACTGTTGATCATCAGTAGCAGTGCAAAAACAGATAAGTTTCTTTAAGTGTGTGCATGAGAGAGAGACCTTTGCATACTTACCTTGATATGTGTGAGAAAATTAAAATAAGCTCCTCAGCTTTCAGAACACAGTAAAGCAGGGGTCTCAAACTGCCCACCCGCCCTCCTCCTCCTCCTTCCGGCCCGCAACTCATGTCAAAAATATAAAGAAATTCGGCCCGCCAAAACATTTTTTTGGTCATTATAAATGCACTGTCACTTTAATTGAGCGTGAGCAGCGTGGCAAAAATAGACCCAGCGCCGAAACTATCGCTGCACTGTTGCTTCAGCGACGAAACCTTACCTGAAACCTACAGGTAAGTGTGTTGGAGCAGGGTAGGAACAGCAGCAGCGTGTCAGCGCGAGGCGTGAGCGTCGCTAAAGCATCAGTGCAGCGATACTTTCGGCGCTGGGTCTACTTTTGCCGCGCTGATCACGCTTATTTAAAGTGACAGTGCATTGACAATGACCAAAACACATTGCGTGACAGTAAAAAGTAGCAATTTTACCCAATAAATGCGTTAATAATGTCAACTGATTTATATACAGTCAATCAAATGAACTTAAACGATTAAAAACAACAACAAACTTTTATTTAGGCATGAACTACAAAACCAAATGTAAAACAATTTTAGTATCAGTTTTGCTAAAGTTGCACGCTAGTGTTTCAGGAGAGAGGAAATAGAATATGTAGAGGAGTTGTAGTCCATAGTGAAGTGTATTGTGGGTAGTGTAGTTCGGCACGCATGCTGGATTATGTGAGCTCGCTGTGTGCTCTGCAGCTCAAGCAGAGGAAGAAAGTTTTAATCAGCTTTGTTTTATGTTCACTCGAGTTATTCCTACCGGGAGCTGTTTGCACTGTGAACCTGACAACACGAAAATAAGTAAAAGAAGGGCATGCATTAATTACTTTTGTCCGTCTCATTCTCTGCACGAGCATGAATTAACGAGCTGTTATTCTGCCGCTGGACATCACTGAAGCGGAGAAAGTAACACTAGTTTGATCATGTATAAATATCATTATAACTATATTGTATAAATATTATTATAACTAGGCCTAAAACATCCTGACAATCAAAAACCAAATGACATGATATCACAGGCGATTGTCTTCTTAATGTAGACACTTCTCATACAAGTTAGCTTGAGAAGCATACAGCACTATTTGATCTATAAAATTTGTAAAAGATTTGCAGGTTAAAGAAACAGCATAGGAGGAAGTTGCCGCGGGTCTTGGTGCAGATGAAAAGTTTAAAAAGTGTATTTGTATATAGAGAGACATGGGTAACTAGATAGAATAGACCGAGATAGGTTGATCTCTGCAGCAGCTGCCGAAGAGCTGTGCGCTGCAGATGCAGCTGGTGTGAAAGGCAAATGCCTGCGTGCTGCTTCTGCTCTCCATATGCGCTGTGCACGCTCTGCTTACGCGCCGCTGACGCTTGCGGTGTGAAACAGGCGTCAGAAGAAGAGCTAGATAGCCCTTGAAACAGATTTTTCAGGACCACACTCGAAATCAAGAGGTAAGAAAATTTCCCAGAATTCCCACCATCTACAATGACAGCATGGCTGCACAGGGAAGTCAGGAGATGCAACATTTTTAATTTTTGGTCATTATTAGGAACAAACAAGCACATGTTTTAATACATTCATAACGACGTTCATGTTTTACTGTCATGCTTTAAAAAAAAACAGCTAAAATAAAATCCACTAAATTTAATAACTCCTGTACAGCAGTCCCACAACATTCTGTCAATCGATGACACTGGAATACCCTGTCAGAAAAGTCTAGTGGCTGGGAATGAGCTGTTTGCAGCAGGGGTTCTCAACTGGTTTGGCCATGGGACCCACATTTTCACATGGTCATCAAGCCGCGACCCAAATTTTTAGGAATTATAATCTAATTTTAGGAATTATGATTCATTTGTATTTAATTGTTAACATACACAACTGGTGACAGATCAATTATAAGAAAATCACCAAGACTTACAAATAAACTATATTATACTGCTGTCATTTAACAAAATGCATCAAATTCTAGAAATATTACAGAGTAAAAATGTCAAATACTGTAAACAGAGGTTAGTGTAGGGAAAAGTTAAGTTACCATCAACTAAACTAAACTGTTTATAAAACATTAACACTGATCTGCTTGAACTGAACAGAAACCAGCAAACTGAAGTAAAATTATTAAAATAATCATAAACATTTTATAATAATCAGCAGTTATTTGCTGTTCTGCTTTTGTGTGGGCTTTCTTGGCCTTTGCTACGGTGAGCACAGTAAAATGTACTTCTACTTGTTTTGAACATGAATATGTTCGGCACTGTTGTGATTCGGCACTGTTGTGATACCCTCAGCTATTGGAGTCGTCTTAGAAAATAGTCCATGGGTTTTTCCTAGCAACTTGGATGTTTGGTTTCTAAATGTCGTTTTAATTTAGGTTTCATGCTCTCTTGTGAGAGCACCTCACTACATATGACACACTGAGCTTTTAAGCCTTTTTTGTCGTCAAAATATGTAAATCCACACTTGACATATTCGGGGTCGTACTTGTGCTGGAATTTCACATGTCAAAAGGGTATATGCCGAGCTAGTGTTTTTCCCATGCTGATACACTTCTGGTGACCTGTTATTGTGAACTTTTTTCCATTTTATACGGTTCCTTTTACAGCATCAATGTTGTAATGTCATTAAAATACATTCATTTAAATAAACTTTAGCATTCATTTAGTTGTTCAAGCGTAAAACGAGACAAAAAGCCGTTTACTCACACGCTCCCGTCAGAATCAGCAGGCTAGCGCAGCTTTATTGAATATACTGGGGTAAAATAAATGCTCATTTTATAAAGATATGGCAGGGGAAATGTAATGTAATGCAGTGCTTCTTTTACAATGTGAGACCCACTTTATATCAGATATCACTCAGCCAGTGGAAATCACTGATTTGTAAAGAAAACAGACCTTAAACGCGCCAGTTTTTGCATTGCAGTTAGCCAAAAGCTCTTGGGCTTGTCCCAGGTTACTGGCAAATTAAAAGTCCCATTAGCAAGCTTTGTCGCACGCGTAAATCAAAATAAAAGTCTGATATAAGCAAAATAAGTTAAATATTAAACTTTTGTTGTTTTTTTGATCTCACTCTCCGCGACCCACTGAAAATGTTCCCGCAACCCACTTTTGGGTCGCGACCCACCAGTTGAGAAACACTGGTTTACAGTGTCTGCTATAATATTAATATTGTTTTGGTGTGTTTACATTGATGAATATGGCCACTGTGTAAATACACAGTACAGTTATGAGCTTATTATTACATTAGATCGTTATAATAACATGATATATGCCTTCAGTGATTTCCTGAAGATAGTTATTTGCAACTGGAAGAACTACAGCAGTCTCGATCATCTGATCTCACATGAAGCAAGAAATTGCGATGACCAACAGTGACATGTGCAGGTGCTGTAGTGCTGTCCCATTTCTTAAGGGTAAATTTTGAAGCCCTTCCCCTTCACACTCTGTTTCAAGGGCCAAGGGGAAGGGGTAGGGCTACAAAAATAGAATTGGGATTGGGCCTATGTGAATTTCTGCACACACTATAATCTACTGTTTTACTCCAAATAAAGCCAGACATTCTTTAGCACAGGCCTATCTAAACGATTAATGCTGCCAACTGAGGATCAACAGCAAAAATGACACACTCTACCTCTCCCAACAGGAAAACCCAGCAACAATCATAAGTGCATGAATATATGCTGTGGTGGCTTTGCAATTAAAAAAAATGGGATTATAATGGAAGTCAAATGGGCAAAAACAGCACCAACATAACCAAAGGGGAGTCAGTGTGAACATTACACAAGGGTTAAAAGACAAATCATCCAGCCATTAGTTCAGATGTGTCTGTGGTTGAACGCTAATGCTAAGTGAGAGTGGAAACGAACAGGGCCATGAATGATCCCTGCGGAGATTCTCATTTCCCATCATCCCCTGAGTGGGTGTAAATGTATGCAGAATGGCTTTTAGATGAGATCTTCCAGTAATTGTTGAGTGTGTGGTCAGTTTACCTCCTCGCTCGGCCCGTCAGACGGTCTTTACCCTTCGCTTTACTGCAAACCACTGAAACGCTTTTCCCCTTTCTGTCCGACGCCTGATGACGAGCTACAAGAACAAAACACACAGATGAAAACAACATTATTTGCCCACCTGTGAGATTTTTTATTTATTTTCAAATATTTCCCAAATGAAATTTTCACAGTATTTCCTATAATATTTTTTCTTCTGGAGAAAGTCTTATTTGTTTTATTTCAGCTAGAATAAAAGCAGTTTTAAAAATTTGTAAACACCATTCTAAGGTCAATATTATTAGCCCCCTTAAGCAATATTTATTTTGGATTGTCTACAGCAGTGGTCCCCGACCACCGGACCGGTATCGGCCCATGGATTAATTGATACCGGTCTGCACAGGAAATCATTAATTATTTCAGTTTTATTTTTAATTATCTGGACCTGAATGATCTTTTATTTTGAAAAAACGTGTTCTCTCAGTTGCATCTCAGTCACTTGAGCGCCCAAACTTAACCCACAAGCAGCAAAATGAGTAAGAAACAGACAGATGTCTTTGGAAATTTTCTTTGCGAAGGGAAAAGACTCAGTAGCTATGATTCCATCCAAAAATGCGAATAAACTTCATGCGCAAAACTGGATTATCGCATAAAAGTCGTGCGAATGAAACATCGTTTCCATCCAACGAGTCAAAGCGAACAAAATCGTCACTTCCTGATTAACTGGCGCCAAATATCAACAGTAAAAACTGCATTTGCCGCAGTAGGAGAAGCTGCATCAATCTTTTCTAAATGAATGCGCCTCAGAAGACAATCCTGACAAGCAGTGAGCGCGCAGTGGCGTTTGAAGGTGTCAGACGTGGCGCACAGGCGCTCTTCATTCTGGAGGTCATTAATAATGTAATAACACTAATACTGAAATGGTAAGGCATTTTATAATGATCAAAACTACATTTCAGATGTTTTATAATGTGCTCAGCCTGACGTTTTATCCATTCACACACATTTTAAGCATCACATGATCTCTTTTAACAAAATCGCATGACCTTTTTTAATGCGCATGCTGGAGTTTGTGCGGTAAAAGTGTTTCCATCGCAGTTTATGCGCATCTTTTCTTATCGAATAAAAAGTTTATCCTACTCAGTTAGGCGCATAAGTTTTTTATACGCATTTTCAAAATTTATGCGCATCATGGAGTTTCCAACAACTGGTTTTTTATACGCATTTGCAAAATGCGCACAAAATAGGTGGATGGAAACATAGCTAGTGACTGACCCAAAAACTGTCAAGGAATGTATCCACATATGGATTAAGTGTTTACAAGTGCCAAGGCCTGTGATGGAGCTCAGATGGAACTGTTGTTTTGAGTTTACCTTATGATTAAAGTTGTTGCACGTACGCCGGTACCTGCCTCTAAATGAGCGAGTTTTATTTAGCTACTAACTTATCGTTCAGAAAACAGAAAAAAACAAGAGAATAAACTCGACACAGGAACATAAAAACCTACTGCCAGCGAGCATTTCAGAAGTGTTATTGCAGATAACCACACAAACAGCAGTATAAATGCACGGCTACGCACAAGGCGACATGGGTCACGTCGATCACTCGACACAAGTATAAGCCAGTCTTTATAGGCTGTTCACATATAAAGTCTTTTCCGTGTGCAAGTTCATTATTTCAAATGTAGGTGCGCGGTTTGCGCGCGCATCAATGACTGTAAAAAATATGGACGACGCGACAGCCCTTTTTCCCATTGAACGCCTTGAGGGCAAAACGCCTGCTTGACGGGCACAAACTGTCGCAAAAGACTGCTGAAATTGGAGCCAGACATGCGCAGAAGGACTGTCTGATGGAGCCAGAGGAGGAGCCGCGAAAATGAGCAGAGTCGAGCTTCCAATCAAACGCTTTATGTAAAATCCACTACGCCCCCCGAACTTCTCAGCATGCGTTTGCTGTCATATCAACACAAATGGATGTAATAATAACGTTAACAAATATGAGGGTTTTATATATTCAATCGCGCCAGCTCCAGGCCGCAGCGCATAACTTACTCGCGGCGTCGCGGGCTGATTACGGCTCGCATGCGGCAGCGCCTGCTCGCTCGGCCGCCGCATCTGGCTCGATTGACTCGGGCTGGAATCGGGCAGTGAGTCCAGGCATCCGGAGTAGGTCCAGCAGAGGTAGTCAGTCTGAGCTCTAAGAGATAAGTCTCCGGCAGGCGAGAATCTAGCCGGAACTGTGTTTTGCTATCTGGGTGGCTAGGCGTGTATCAGCAAACTAATAAAGCCCGAAAAAAGCCCTGACCTTAGCGAATAAACAGTGTTCCACCAGGATCATGTATGTCAGAAACTATAGTTTACTGCTGAACTCATTTTGTCATGGTAAAATAACACAGAAATCGAATAATAACACTTCAGTCTCCTGCCGAAGCTCAGACGCCACGCTTTGAGAAACTGTCAATCACAGCTGTCAATCACGATGACACGCCCAGCATTAAATTACTGCTAAAAACAAACTGTTTACACAAATGAAGATCTGCACCTATTTCAGCACAATAACCAGTGCCTTAATCCACCAAAACCATCTTTCGGGACATTTTATTGCAAGTGTAATACATTTTTTTATTTGGGCTCAAGTCTCCTTCATTAACACGGAGGAGGCGGGCTTTATGACTTGTACTGCAGCCAGCCCCCAGGGGGCGATCTAACGGCCGAAACCTTCACTCAAATGTAGGCTTGCGGCACACTTGGCGCGCATATATTGGGAATGATGTGCTTGCAGTGCAATGCATTCGCACCTTCCAGGCGCACCTAGTTGAAATCATCTCAACTTTTCAGAATGCCGTGAGCTCACCACGAGTCACATGACAAAAACTGATGATCATACTTTCATACTTTGTGCAAATTATACACATTTCAGTAGGATAATTACATCAGACAAAAACAAAAAACCTAAACACTGCAGTGCGTTATACATAAAAATTGTATCACATGTGCAGCCATGTTTTCTGATTGTCTTTTTTTTTTGAGATAATGGTTGATGGTCATCTAAAAATTTGCGTAGATCCACTGCACCTCCACCCACCCAGGCTGCGATAAGATTGACAAACGTTGACCGGTCCACGATGATAAAATAGTTGGGGATATGGCATAGTGACATTTTTAAAGCTGTATGAGATTCAAAAGTTAACATTCATATTATTATTAATCACCTGTTTCTAAAGGGTCTGTCTCTAAAAGTGAGGGAGATGTATTTTAATTTCTGTACCTCTGGATTCTTCTGATCTCAGATTTCCTCTTCTGGCATTTCGACTTCCTATAAAACAGAATATTTAACCCAGAACAAACATTAACCAACACAACACAAAAACACAGACTTGTGTTTCAATCTTTTTGAGTTTGATCTGAAAAGGATTGGGGTATATGCAGAGCTAGTGTTTTCCCTATCGATAAACGTCCGGTGAACGGTTAATGCGACTTCTTTCCATTTCATACGGTGCCTTTGACAGCATCGATGTTGTTCATTGATTCATTCATGTTCTTTTTGGCAGAGTCCCTTTATTAATCTTGGGTCGCCACAGAGGAATGAACCGCCAACTTATCCTGCACATTTTTACGCAGTGAACGCCCTTCCAGCCGCAACCCACCTCTGGGAAACATCCACACACATATTCACACACACACTCATTCACTACGGACAATTTAGCCTACCCAATTCACCTGTACCGCATGTCTTTGGATTGTGGGGGAAACCGGAGCACCCGGAGGAAACCCACGCGAACGCAGGGAGAACATGCAAACTCCACACAGAAACGCCAACCGAGCCGAGGATCAAACAAGCGACCTTCTTGCTGTGAGGAGACACATCGATGTTGTAATGTAATTAACATATAATCAGTTATATAGACTTCATTAGGCTGTTCAAGTGTAAAACGAGATGAAAAGCCGCTTAAACACAAGTGCCGTCCAGGGGTGCATTTCCCAAACAACAACGTAACTCGTAGCTGAACTATCATGGTACGATGCATCTTTTGTGAATAGAACGAGTGTTTCCCAAAACGCATTGTTTCTCTGTCGCAGATCCATCGCTTGAACCACGTTAGTTACAACGTAAAACGCCCATATTGATGCTCTAAATGGGGTGGAGGAACTACTTCTTTAGAGAAGAACCCCGTCATTTCTTTGTGCAAATTATATTGTCTTACGCAAACACACATTTAAAATAAAATCCAATATTAGTTTTGGTAAAAACATTCGATCGCTACATAAACTCGCGACGTAACATAAATTTGCATTTAAATAATAGGTCACCTATCGCTTTAACCATGAGGCTGTGTGCCAAATGACATCAATGTTTTCAAAGTGCACTGAGAAGGGAGCACAATCGTAAACATGAAGATCACTAAAACTGAACTTTAAAAATAGTAAAAAGCAATTTACACCTAAGAGAGATGACTAATTTGTTTTTACTTTTCGAATGTTCTAATGGCCCGTTTCCACTGAGTGGTACGGTACGGTTCGGTTTGGTTTGGTGCGCTTTTATGGCCGTTTCCATAGTCAAAAGCGTACCGAACCAAACCGTACCGTACCCCTTTTTCGGCACCCTTTCGAAAGGGTCCCAGACAGGAAAAAAGGTACCAAAAGGTGGAGCTACACGTGCAGCTGAACACTGATTGGTTACACAGATACGTCACGAGCTCGTGGAGCTACACAGAACGTAAACAAAGGAACCGCCATTTTTTTTAAATACAAAGCCGAGACATTACATGGAAATACTATATGCGAGCGGTTTTCGCTTTCTTCCAGGAGCGCGCGATCGCTTCTATATTTGATATAACGAACTTCTTGAGCTGATGCTAAAAGGAGTGTGATTATTGAAGTGTCTCCATCATCTGATCCATTCAGAAAAAAGGACAAGCGCGAGAGTGAAGCGGGAGTGAAACGCGGGAAAAAAAGAGAAGCCGTCAAAACACAGGAGCAAAAGTGTTTTAGCAACCTGAATCATGAACAAACTGCCATGATTATCTTCGTCTTTTGGACTATTATGAACTTTGAATGACAAAATGACTCTCTAACAGAGCTTACATGTGCTGCTGAAGATTACAGACACAGATGAGAGGTTTGCGCTGACTGTGGGCTATATTGTGTGTGGTTTTGAACTCTAAGTACTAAATGTCTTCTGTGTGTAGTTTTTCTGTAATTAATAATATATCGGAGACTGTAAGGGGCTGTATGTGTTTATATATGTTGCATTTATGTATTTATTTTATATAATTACAGACGTTACAGTAGCCTATTCACACTGTCATTGATCTGCAGTTATAATCAACTCCTGTTCATAGAAAAGTTAGTAATAAACATTTTTAAACAAGTATTTATGTGTGTAAAGTGTCTGTTTTGTGAGAAGTGCTGCTCATTATGATATGTGAGCGGCCCGTACAGCTTTACTGCATGACGTCGACTTAAACTTTGTCATACACCACGCCCACCAAAAGGGTACCTTTTGTAGTGGAAACGCAAGCCTGATAAAGGTGACCTGTACCGACCCGAACCGTACCGTACTTTACCAGTCAGTGGAAACAAGGCATAAATGAATAGGGCATAGGGGGGATAAGTGGGAATAGCCAGGAACTATGTGTTGAACTACAGCTCCAGAGGTATAGTTGCGAGTGCTCAAATTTGCGACGCAGTTAGGGAATGTTCGTTGGAGCGATGGATTTGGGAAACGGCAAATCAACAAACTATGTTTGTAACGACAGAACTTGCGACCTTAGTTGTCTAACGATGGTTTTGGGAAACGCACCCCAGAGCAGCAGCAGGCGAGCGCAGAAACTCCATTGAAAATACTGGGGTAAAATACATTTCCATATTTTAAAGACATGACACAGACAAACTAAATTGAATGCAGTGCTGCTTCTTGTACATTTCGAGACTCACTTTATATCGTATAATAATCAGGTGAAGATCATTGACTTTTAGAGAAAACAAACCTTAAACGTGGCGATTTTGTAACGGCATACAGTTCACCAGAAGCGCTTTAACAGGGTTACAGAAAATTAAAAGTCCTTCTGCATATATACCCTATAGATAATAGTAATCTGAAAAAGGCTTGCTCACCTCTGTTTGATACTCCTCCATGCTCCTTTTCAGAAAACCTACAGATAAAACACATTGAAAAACACACACAAACAAAAACACACGGCAACTGAACATGACCACAGAATTAATTATTGACAAAACTAACACTAATGGATCAGGAGTGAAAGAGATGAAGCCATGCATGCAGATGTGTTATATTACAGTCAGCTCCAACAATAATAGTATTAGGGGTATGAATGATTCGGCTTGGCTGATATATATATTTATGACTCATTCCAGGGGATCACGGTGGCTCAGTGGGTAGCACGATCGCCTCACTGCAAGAAGGTCGCTGGTTTAAGCCTCAGCTGGGTCAGTTGGCATTTCTGTGTGGAGTTTGCATGTTCTCCCCTTGTTTGCGTGGGTTTCTTCCGTGTGCTCCGGTTTTCCCCACTAGTCCAAAGACATGCACTACTATAGTTGAATTAGATTGGCTAAACTGTCCGTAGTTTATGAGTGTAAATGATGATAAAGCATATGCTGGATAAGTTGCCGGTTCATTCCGCTGTGGTGACCCCTGATTAATAAAGGGACTTAGCTGAAAAGAAAATGAATGAATGATTGAATGACTCATTCCAGAATTGCGGGTACATTTAGGCCTGTTATGATAAGGAATTTTTGTTGTGTGATCTATTGTTACAGAAATTGCAGCGACAAGCGATATTAATGTCATTTAGAGATCACATGAGCAGCAGCTACGCTAATTATTTTCTTTATTCTCTATTTCCACCTGGGGATACTCATCACAAGGCATCTAGAGATTGTGCAGCGCCACTGATGTGGTCCAAGACCTGTGAAGAGATGATGCCAACCATCAAGGACCTCAAGGATAACACGTATGAAGAAATGATGCTAATCATAGAGGACTTCTAGAGGTCTCCATAATCCTGGACCAGGTCGTATCCTGTGCAGATGCTGTGGTGGTCATAAAGGAGTGGAGAGCGTGAGACTGATTCCTGAAAGACCCCAGTGACAGGGACTCTGCATTGATACCGTACTCACACCTGCAGCTTCTCCACGATGGCTGCCCAGTGTTCTCCAGCCTCTGGCGTCTAGACTGCAGCTCTGCACAAAAAGTTTGGCCAGAGGAGAAATGGTCGTGCCCAACTGAGCCTGGTTTCTCTCCAGGTTTTTTCCTTTACTTTGGTTAATTGGTGATGTTTGTTCCTCCATTGTCGCCACTGGCTTGCTTGGTTTGGGACTCGTGGAGCTGTGCACGGATGGATTTACTCTTCAGTGTTTGGGCTCTCAGCAGTGAAAATTAAATCACACTGAACTGAACTCTGAAAACTGGACTGACACTGTTTCAGTTTACTAGAACTTCAATGTGAAGCTGCTTTGACGCAATCTACATTGTAAAAGCGCTAGAGAAATAAAGGTGAATTAAATCATTGATTTTTAAAGAAAACAGACCTTAAATGTGGCGATTTGATAACGATATACAGTTTACCAGAAGCACTTTGACAAGGTTACGGACATTAGTCCTTCTGTATATTAGGGCTGTGCTATTAATCGAAAATCCGATTTTGACTTCGATTTTGGCTTTTAACGATTATGATAAACCATTAATCGAGATAAACGATTATTCCATGATGTACCGCCCCCTTTCCAGTTGTACACGTGTGAAAACTCTTTGCCTCTGCAAAGCTCAGTTCCACGTGAAAATGACAAAGCATGTGCTGTAATGCAACTTTTGCAGCACGCGATGCGCATCATTCATATTTTTAAAAAAGCAAAAGAGCATGTGCTGTTGTGTGTGTGTGCATGCCACGCTTAGCCTCGGACAGGTAGTGTGTGTGTGTTTGCGCGCGCTGCCACGCTTAGCCTCAGACAGCAGAGCACACACACATCTAACGCGATCTTAAAGGTTCAGGACACCCTGGATAAGTTTTTTTTTTTATTAACAGATGTGTGTGTGTTGAGCATCAGTTAAGACAATGTTAGCACCTGTCAGCTTTAATTGTGGGGAAAACTGGATATTTTTGAGCTTTTGTCAGCTCATTTCAGCTTCCGGGTTTAAAATGATTTTTGGGGCGGATCAAAATCGGCGACGTAGCGCAGTACTGCAAGTGCAATGATGAGGCGTCGGTTTCTCATTATTATTCATAGCGGAGTTTTCTTATCCTATGAGAAGAGCCGGCTGCTTAATTATTCATGAGAGCATGACAGCACGCGCTTTCCGAAGGCAAGGCAGACGCAGACGCAGACCTGCCAGACCAGTGCCAAGCTCAAGCTGTGAGACACGGACCCACGGGCACGCAGTAGCCGTTTATGAAGGCTCGTATGTGTTTGTTTCCATGATCCACGGGGTTTGTTGCATGTTTTTCCCCGCGATCCTGTCAGGGCCGATCATACAGCAAAGCTGTGTGTGTGATGCAAGCATTTTTGTCGGGAGAGCAGCACGAGAATTAGAGAATGGCGGATGCTGTCTTGTATCAGGAGTTCATTCACATTCAGACACATCACTGTGCTGCTGTGTTTGCCTAAATCCTCCAGATTACCAGAAGGGCTAATGGTTAAAATAGACAGGTCAGGAGACCTGCTGCACTGAGTCTGCTGGATACGGGGATTGAGGGAGAAGTCCTCATTTATAGTGTTTACATGAACACGATTATCTTTATAATGATATAAATTGTGGTTGTGTGTATATGAAATTACAAATAACAAATGTAGCAGGGCATTAAATCACTGTTCATTTCTTTGCATTTTAACTTTGTGAACTATAAACTCATGCGTCTCCTCTTTGTGTCTAATTTTGTGAGCTAACTGACAACAGCAGTTATTCGCTCCCCTGCTCCCCTTCTCCCCTGCTGGCCACGCCCACTCCTGCCCTATGCTCGCGAAGCTCCACGCCCATTAATCATGCATCTTTTGAAAAAGTTCTGAAGTAGACTTTAACCGAAAGTGGGGGGTGTCATGGCCCTTTAATGTGAGCGCTTTAATGGTCAAATACATGCACATTTGTGTCAGAGCGCGGGGTTTAGTGATTATTCATAATAACCCTCATTTGTGTAATAAACAAACAAGTTGAGAATCAAAAGACACGAGAAAGAGAAACAATATCAGAAACGCACTATTCTTAAAGTTACAGCGTGCGGTATTCCTGCTGCTGCTGACTGTTTTTATCATTAATCAATAATAAAATTAAAAATACAGTGAAGATGCCTAAAGCAGAGTTTAAACATAACAGATTTAATAACTCATTTCTAATAACTGATTTCTTTTATCTTTGCTATGATGACTACATTATATTTTACTAGATATTTTTCAAGACACCAGTATTCAGCTTAAAGTGACATTTAAAGGCTTAACTAGGGTACATAGACAAGTCATTGTATAACAGTAGTTTCTTCTGCAGACAATCAAACATATATATTGCCTAAAGGGGCTAATAATATTGATATATTAAAATAGGTTTCAAAATATTCAAACCTGCTTTTATTCTAGCTGAAACAAAACAAATAAGCCTTTCTACAGAAGAAAAAAATATTATAGGAAATACTGTAAAAAAAAACCTCTGTTAAACATCATTTGGGAAAAATTAATATATAAGAATAAATTCACAGGAGGATGAATAATTTTGCCTTCAACTGATAATCGTTCAACCAAAATAATTGTGATTATGATTTTTCCCATAATCCAGCAGCCCTACTGTATATACACTAAAATAAAAAACAAATGAGTAAATAAATCCTTGCACTGAACATTGAGAGTGCTTTTCTGTCTTCCACCTCCCACAAAACGGTTCAGTCTTAAAGCGTCTCCCTGCCCTCAACAATCTTTAGTGTTTGCAAACCCTGCCAAATAAGGCAAGGCATCCAGAGCACCCTAAAAATAACCTGCGTCACGTTCACTGGATAGAGCTCAGGGGGAACATTATTTACCCACATGACCAACACTGAAGACTTACAGACACTTGTTAACATTTGGCCTGAAGTCTTGTTTGTGGTACGGCATGTTCGAGTTATGAGAATCAATATGGGTTTCATTAATGATAAAAAAAAATAATGAATATACAATTAAAGTCAGAATTATGTGCAGAATCCAGAAGGGCAGGCTGCAAAATGCCTGCGCAGCGTTACGCATAGTGCGTAAATATTTTTGAGCAATTATCGAACTGTCACTATCGTTTAATCAAAAAATTATATATCGTGATAATTATCGACATCGAATTATCGCCCAGTCGTACATATTCGAATTTAACCACTTTATTTTAATTATCCAACATTCCTAAGGCAAATAGTTTTAATATTCAAAAAATAATAATCTGATCTCTTTATAATAAAATAAACATCATGTTAAAGAGACTTTTAAACTTACTAAATAAAATGTTACAAAGTGTGTCTAATGGTAAAGTGTAAACGCTGAACTTTAGGGTGAATAATAATGATACAGTAAACCTCATTTTCGCATATGTTGTTATTCTGTGGTGGTTTCCTTCATTTGCGCTTGCGCTCCCTTGCCCGCAACCTTTGCAACCACCAAACGTTTTCTCAGAGGATGACAACCGGACAAATCACTGCTGCAGCTCTGATACAAACTCATGGAGAAAAGTATAAAGCACTGCAGCGCTTAGGTGCGCTGTGTTTGTCTGAGGTAATGAATCGATTGTTATTACCAATGGTATCTGGATACAGTCTTTATGAGATATGAGATGCAAGCTGAGATTGCGGATGCAATGTCAGACGCAATGTACTCAATAGAGTGAGTGACGTCACTGTCAGGGGTAGGGTTAGGGGTTGGTTAGGTGAGCACATTAAAAAGCATTGGATGCAGCTCAGATTGCACTGCACCAGGTCTGCATCCAGACCCCTCTCGTTATTACTGAAATGTGTATATTCCATATAAAGTGTGAAGCAGATTGGTTAGTTCTGCTTACATGAATCACAATGCGCACACAGCATTTGGAAAAGTTAAGATGTTTTCAACTAGGCTGCAGTTGAAACACAATACGCCCTATCATACACCCGGTGCCACAAGGCGCAAGACGTGTTTCTATGACGTGTTGCTATTTACA